AGAGAATCATGCACAACATTTTTTCAGCCTCTCAACCATATAAATGAATAATAATTTTATTTGTATAGAATTATTATTCTATTATTATTAGAATTCTATTATTATTAGAAACCGTGCCATTAGAATTATTATTCTATTATTATTCAAAGTTACAAAATGCTACATAGTTTGGATAAAGGGGTGGCTGTAGCTCAGGTGGTAGAGCAGGTCAGCCACTAATCAGAAGGTCAGTGGTTCGATCCCAGGCTGCCTCCTGCCCAAATATCCTTGGGCAAGATACTAACCCCATGTTTCGCCTCTGTCAGTGCGCCCCAGGGCAGCTGTGGCTACAATGTAGCTTGCCATCGCCAGTGTGGCATGTGTGTGTGAATGACTGCTGAATGTAGTGTGAAGCGCTTTGGGGTCCTTAAGGACTAGAAAAGCGCTAACAAATGCAGGCCATTTACCATGCATTGAAGATAACCGGCGTGTTCAACAATATGGATATATAAACAGACACATACTAAGCCATATGGTTGCATTCTGACAGAAGCACACCGCTTGCTATAACTCTCGTCTGTCTTTTGATAATATATGGTTTCAAGATCTCAGTATTTGAGAAAATACTATTCTGGTCTTTACCAGAGGTTATATTCAGAAGTACCGCTACCACACTGAAAAAAAGGGATTGGCCAGCTCTTGGTAATATGTAAGCATCTTGCGTGTATTTAACACAAGTGCCTCATGCTTTAAAGTTAAGTGTAACTATATAGTGTAGAAACTACATAATATGCAGAGCGGGTAGATTAAGTTGTTCATATCATGTTTGAGTAAAGTAAGTCAATAATATAGCAATGTTAAATCCTGCGACACCGCACGGGATTTCAGTCTTGCGTGCTTTGGATCGTGGTTTGAGGAAGGCATCCATCTCAGTCAAATTGAGTAGCCGCCTTCACTTTTTTGGTATACCGAAAAAAGTAAATTGGGTGGTTGTTACATTCAAAAAGTCTACCTTGTAATTTGAACACATAAATCTCATGGTTCTATCTTGAATTAAATCACGTAGGATCTGTACAAAATTCAACAACTTAATTTGTTCTTGTAGAGATGACATTATACAATCTACTGTAGTATGAGTGTTTAGTTGCTGGACTCATGAAATTAACAAGATCACATGAGATTTCAAACTGCAGAAAAATCACTGGAGTTATAAGAGGCAGACAACTACACACCACATGTATGTTATTGCTTTTTATTATGGTTTAACCTGTCAAGGACAAAAATGTAAAGTAAATTCTGCATCAAGACTTGAAATCATAGCTTTCCTATTTTTGATGGTTAGTGCTGTTGCCTCACAGTAAGAAGGTCCCGGGTTCAAATCCACGATCTGGTGCAAATGGTTGTTTGTGTCTATGTGATAGACTGGTGAGCTGTCCAGGGTGTACCCTGGCTTCAATGTCCACTATTGAATCAAGTAAATCCAACATGGCTGAGGCTGGAATAAAATGTATCCATCAAATGGTACTCTTTATTAAGGAAAGCATGAATTTACTCACGAAAGACCCCACCCCCTCTAATTGGTCCAATTGGTGCACATTATTTTTCGAAACCAGAACTTCCATTTAAAAAAAAAAAAAAGTTCTGGGCATGGTCTCTTTTATATGATACCTGATTCAGGTGAGCATCTGAATAGCCTAAGTCAGGGGTTAGCAAACCAAAGGAGAAAATAAACATCCACATAAGCAAAGCTCAAACTGCAATAAAGCACATGGAAGATGTTTTTTATATTTGCACCAAGTCCTATAAATAATTCAATAACATATATACTTCAATCACTTATATATAAATTAGGAACACCATAACCAAAGCTTCCTAACCTGGCACACTAGTTTACTCACGGAGCTCATAAACAGGTAATTGAGCTCCTTTTATTCTTTTGCTCCATATACAGCGAAGGAAGCAACCAGGAAAAGGTGAATACTGCTAACACTCTTCTCTCAAATACATGTACAAGGAGTTTAGGTTTACAAAACAAATAATACATTTTGAACAGCTCTAACTCAGGTTCTTTTTCCTCACACACGTAGGATGGCCAGTCCTCCTCATCTTCCACAAACAGTCACTTAAATACTATATCAAACCTGATAAACCTAATAAAGAATCACTAACCCACAAATGTAATTCTGTTTTATGTAGTTTTTAAAAATACCAATCCCTCAAATGAATAAAAATACAGGTAAGGGAAATGAATCTGCTATACAGATGATACCCATAATCGATTGCATATTGATAGGATGTCTGATCCTTAGCAGTCTGCAAAGACTCTGTGTGCCTTCCAGAGCACTCTGGCATACACACATCCTAAGGTCATGAGAGAGGTCGTACCTTCTCTTACCGATTTATGGTATAGGAGGACACCTACTCTGTATCTGTTTAAGTATAAGAGCCCTTTGTTTAGGTGGACCGCTGGACTCCTGGCACCAGCTTTGGGGAGTCATTCACAGGGTCACATCTTGACACACACACACACATACTTACACATACAAACAGACGGTAACCATTGTTCATATGTATGCCTGTGAAAGGCGTTACCACAATAAAGAGCAGTGCTACGGGGGAGCTAACTGAGAGTGACTGGGATTCGAGGGGAAGGAACAGCGCTCGTCACAGTTCTCTCCCTCATGCACAAGCAACACAAAGATCTTTGGTGATTTGCGTCTTGTTTTTGCTGTTGTAGTAGAATTGTCTTGGTCATTCCAGAAATAGGTGTGTGCTACACAAACCTATCACTATTATAGTGAATGATCTGCTGTCATGTTCCTCCAGTCCTCTCCAGTGCTCCGTTTGTTTGTGTTTCTCTCTCTTCTCCTCACTCCTCTCTTTAAGGGCGCCACTCGATTCCAGGTCCCCGCCCTTGGCCAACACACCTGGTTGCAATCGTTTGAGTCTTGCCTGATTGATCGTGACAACAGCATTAATCTGAATGAATCTAAATAATGAATCAAGATAATGTTAAAACACATATGAAACAATGAAGCCTTCATTCAGGTTAATTTAACCAGCCCATAGTTATCCTGCTTGTAAACTTAGGCTGCTGAACAGGGTTCTGCTTGAGATCATTTCCTCTTTAAATGGAATTCGTCCTCCCCACTGTCACCAAGAGCTTGTTTATAGTGTTTTGTTGAATAAATAGAATTCTCTCTCTGATATTATAAGGTCATTACTTGCATTATAAAGCATCTTGAGATGACTGTTAATGTCACATTTAATTATACATTTAATTGTAACTGTTAAAGGTCTGAGGCATTTGGATAGTTGGTAGTCTGTGCCTCATTTTAGTAACATTTACCAGTATTTAAAATTAACAGCCAGGAAGGCTGCTTCCCCACAGTTTGGCAATGGAAATCTAAAACAGTGAGTTAGAATACAGAGTGAGTTTCAGAAACATAAGAAGGTAAGAAGGTAAGAAGGTTCAAACTGATTTTGGATTTTATATAAAAGTAAGAGTATTTTCAAATCCCTACTGTAGGATATTGTACAGGATATTGTGGCTCTGCCAAAAATGGACTGATGCTGTGTGGGTTTTTTTGTTTTGTTTTTGTTTTTTTGTTTTTTGCTGAGAGAAGTTCGGGAGACAATCTAGCAGTTTACACTATTTTGTAATCAGGCAGTTAAAGATTCGTTAAAGACACAGGTGTGGACTTCTCAATGTCAGGCAGTCTGCACACAGAGAAGTGAAGTACAGTTCAAAATTCAAAATATATATTAGACACATGAAAACAGGAAATAATTGTGACTGGCTATTGATGGGGAGATGCCATGGTTTAGACTTAGTGCTCCCTGATTTGTTCTGCTCGGGGTCCTTCTGCATGGCAACGTTCATTAACCTCCAGGGGTCTTGTCCTATGTGAGGAAACTCCTCCCTACCTTACAGTTGTTACCAGGAATGGTTTATGTTAATTCTGAAGTCAGCTTTGATCGACACAATGAAGTCTCATTTTTTTTTGTAGCAGACTAGAACAGTGTTTCCCAACCACTGGAGAAATGATTATGTGTGCCGTGGAAGATTATCTGGTTCCACTTGATTAGTACTCTAAATCACCGGCGTGAGTAACGGCCAGAACAATTACATTCTCTCTGCCAGTACCTGCTCTAATTAAATAGAATGCACACTGTCAATAAAACAGAAGAAAACGAAGAAGAAATGACATAATTGTCATGCTGTGAACGAGACAATGCAGCAAATAATAGCGATAGATAAATATTTGAAAAGAAAACGTAATCAATCTGATCTGGCCCCTGGAGAAAATCCCGACCTAGATGAAGGCCCTAGCATGAGTAGTGGTCAGAACAAAGCAAAAAAGTTACACTGGGGACAAACCGAACCAATTCCACTCTGCCTGGTGGCGGAGAAAAATGATCAATATGATTTTTGTGATATTTTTCTTCGGTGTTGTGCCGTGTGGTTTTTCTAATGTGAAATATGAATATGAAATATGAAACATGTGGGAAACACTCCATTAAGTGTTCAAATTTTTTTTAAAAATTCAACGTTTTGATACCAGAGCAGTTTCTGTAACGCATGTGGTTAAGTAGTTAAAAAAAACCTACTGAAAAATATAGTAATATAACAATGTAGTAATTACATTAATAAAGATTTCAAATAGTGAACTTAATAATAATAGATCTAACTAATAATAATAATAATAATAATAATAATAATAATAATAATAATAATAATAATAATAATTAGAAGAAATCTCATAAATAATAAATAGTGTGGCTCAGTATTATTGGATTTGCACACTGATGACTAATGAATCTCACGAATAATAAATTGCATGCTTCAATGTCATTGCTCTGGCACACACAAGATTTAATTGTAAAACAAAACTGATTGGGTTATTCACCCGATTTAGTTTTTATTTGTTGAAAATTAACTGCATATGTTTTAATTTGAAAAAACAAAAGCCGGAAGAGTAGCAGGATATTTCCGTTCCGTCAGTTCCCTTTGAGTTGTCGCCGACTCAGGTTTGCGGCAGACGGAGCAGCGGTGAGAATGCAGAGCTCTTGAACACAACTGAAGTAAATTTTTCCCTTTTGCTTTTGTGGACTGTCATTTTCTTATAAGGACTAACGTGTTGTAGCCGGAACGACCAGGTAAATGATCACCTTCATTTTCTCCCCCAGTTTTTGTGCAAACTTTTGCCCATTCGCTAGCCACCCCAGGCTAGCAGCCTGTTACCTGTTAGCCTCTGCTTAATGTAGCTGTTAAAGCTAAATGACGACACTGTTTAATAGATGTTTAAGTGGAGAGAAAAATGTTTTTCGGCTCATATTGTTAGCTTACTTTGGTACATGTGGGTGACTTCAGTGACATGTTGTCTTTGGAAATAGAGGAGAGAGTATGTGACTTTCAGGTAATTAAAAGTGTCAGATACTTCGTAATCCCTCTGAGAATCCTCACTGAAGCTGTTGGGTTTAATCAGTCAGTCTATCTTCATTTCGAATTCATGGTCCATGTAAACAGAAAGATCGCAGAGTAGAATACAATAGAACAAGTTGGGGAATTTTGCCAAACCAGACTAATGTGTTGCTACAGCTGCACATTAGAATTCTAACCAGAATACCTTTTAAACCTCTTCAACAAAAGGTTCCTTTAAACCTTTCCTGAAGTAGACAGTGATGGCAGCACCACTCCCTCAAAAGAGATTTGTAATTCCTTGTTTATTATTTTAACACCTTACTCATTACAGGTTTCTCTTTTAATTACCCTGGCAGTTTTGATATATTTAGGATTGGAAATGAAGTTCAGGCACCAAGGTTAAAGAGCAGCAGAACAGCAGCTGAAATTCATGGTTTTATTTCTTGCCTGGCACTCTTGGAGAAGTGTGATGTCTCTGTGGGGTGTGGTTGCAGGTGCAGTCAGTGCTGCTTGTGTCCTTTACTACTAAGATGTGGGGTGTATGTCATGTAAGATAGACTATCAATGTGTTCTGGTGTATTGGAAACCAAAACGTCTTAGTTTTTGTGAATAAAACAATGAGCATGAAGCTGCTGACACCCAATTTATTTCTGAATGTCCGGCAGCTCAATTTTGTCCCCATGATGTCCTGACAAATTCTGGTGTTAGAATTCCGAATAGTAGGTCCTGTCTATGTTTTCACTTTGATTCAGACTAGAGCTGCTCAGCGGGGACATGGTCTGCTCTTTTCTGTGGGACAGTAGTTATTTTTAGAGTCTTCATGCACTTCAGTGAACACTGTGTGTGTTAACGAAGAAGACCAAGTTGTGCTGTTCAATAATTTATGAGCTGCTCTCTCTTCTTCTGCATCTTTCTCCTCCTTTTCCAGTCTAATCTACTCTGTTAGAGACAAAGGCTGAATAGCTTCGTCTAAAAAACACTTAGTGGAGCTCAGAGGTGCTTTAGCAGTGGAGAGAGGCTTGAAATAAGATGTAACAAGATGCAGAAAAAAATAGGTATTGATAAAATATATTCCACATATGCACTACAGGCTCACAGTATGAGATACTTTTATGAGAACTTTTGATATTTGAGGGTGTGTGGACTGGAGCCAGATCTATATAGAGGCACTCAGAGAGGAGGTATCCATGTTGCTCTGATTTATTTTATTTCTGAAGATCCAGACTTGGGAACAGTGGGTTTATAGCAGCGTGACCATCTGTAAGTGTATTTAAAAATAGAAAAATCCTTCAGTGAACTGTCAGTGAAAACTGTAGTTCGGCTTAGGGCTGTGCGATATGACCAAAATCTCATATCCCGATATAAGAATTCTATCGTCCCGATAACGATATAAATGGTAAATGGTCTGTATTTGTACACTCTCAGAAATAGGGGTACCAAAGTGTACCAAAAAGGGTTCCAATGCTTGTCGCTGGGGGTGTTCCTTTTTGAGGGACATTTCTGTACCCTTTAGGCTTGGTACATTTTTGTACCTTATGAAGTTGTACCATGTGAAGTACAATCATGTACTTTCCTAAGACATAAATGTACCTTCAAACTATAGTACAGAAATGTTCCCTTGAAAAGGGTACAATAGGGTACCTATGAGGGTACCCCCCCAGCGACA